TGTAGCATTGTCAAGGTAGGATTTGGGGTGAAAAGGCTAGTTCCCAACTGGCCCTTCAAATTGAACAAGGCTGGTTTACCATATTCTCTCAGAAAAACAATTTGTATTCTCATCCAAATAGCCTTGTCACGTGAGCCTATTGCATTCAGGATCTGAAGTTACTGAACTTCACCACTGGATTAGTCTTGCAAGTCTTTGGTTCCTCTGCAAATACATTAAAAGAACCCAGATACAATTCGATAAGCAAGACTAGCAACATCTTGGAGCTGAGGTGGCTATTATTGTAGTATATTCAAGTTTCTAAATTACTGTCCTACTGAGCTCCCTTGCCAGCGAATGAAGCAGAAGAATACTAAAACCAACTCCTCAGCCTTTAAACATGGAAATAAGACACATACTAATATTTTCCCCATTAGTAGACATTTTAGAATACAATCTGATAAATGATGAATGCAAGTTGTAATACACTTCCTTTATTTTTGGGAGTTTACTCTTAGCCATGGTCACTATGGGAACAAGAGGTTGGGTCTTCAAAATCTCGGGTAAATTATTTAAATATTTCATTTTTGTATTCATGTTCATGCAGAAAATATGCTCATACCATCATATGCCACTTTTTCAACTGCACCATCAAAACAAGTCTAAATCCCTATCCATTTCCTTTACATACATGCACCACTTTGTTCTTGCTCTCAGAACAAAAATGTCAAGATTGGGAATAACAATCCTCTATTTCTGTACAACCTATGTCTATATAACATTGATTTTTCAGTGTTCCTTTTTTCCCCCAGGTAGGAAGCAGATAGTCTTTGAAGCGGCAAGGCGATTCAATGTTAATTAAGATGCAACATTCACACTTGCCTCAAACAAACAAGAGTTCTTTCTCCCGCCCTGGACATTTCACGGATATATAAGCCTCACTTGCCTAGTTTCCAACAGACCTCACAACCTCTGAGGATGCCTGCCATATATGTGGGCAAGACGTCAGGAGAGAATGCTTCTGGAACATGGCCATACAGCCCAGAAAACTCACAGCAATCCACTTACTATATCTATGTTCATTAGCAAAATACTGAGCCCAGATACTTCTACCAAAAACAAATCAATGGTGTAGATTGACAATTGGCCTTTGTTGAGCTGGGTTAGCGTGTTCTCTCTCTATATATGAGATATGCATGCATTTATAGCTATATCTAAATATAATGATGTGACCTGCTGTGACTATACTGAATGGTTTTCGTGTGCCTTCTGCCCAAGTGTTCTGAGATTCGCACCTACATCTCTTTGTCACCATGAATAGACGTACAAGCTAATATTAGATCTACAGCAAGATGTTTATATTAAATCCTCCATAAATGGATGAGGGGAGTGCTTACTATTTTAGCTATTTAAATTGACTTAACATAATTGAACTACAGACCACATTCGGAGAGGCACTAATCCTTCCTAGTTCTTATGGTCTCACTGTAATTTGTGGGGATACAACCCAGAAAGTCTTCCTCTCACAATGGCCATGCTATCGAATTTATGCTAAAATACTAAGAAACTTCTCAATATTTCACAGGTTTTGGCTCATCCCCATTGGTTTTAATCCTAAACCATTTCATATGTTGTGTTTTATCCCATTGGATGCAGGGCTTTAGACTTTTGCCTTTTAAAAAAGATAAATGTGCAACATGGCACCTGTCACAGATTTCTTCATTTTTAATAGAGTCTAGCATTGGAGTTGTGAACCAAAGTTTGAACAATTCCTGGGAGATATGTTCTGCAATCTTGAAAATTGAGGACATAATAATAATAATAATAATAATAATAAAATCACACAGTCCTAGACGCTTGGGAAGTGTTCGACTTGTGATTTTGTGATACGAAATCCAGCATATATATCTCATTTGCTGTGACATACTGTGTTTTTGTGTCAGAATAATAATAACAATAATAATAATAATAATAATAATAATATACTTTCTAAACATTAGGATTCCTCCCACAACTTCGTGGGTGCTATTCCTCCATTCCATAAAGTAATTTTACAAATCCCAAACATTCATATTTCTTATATCTTGTTTACTCCCTTGTTTCTCCTGCTTGCATGTGGAAAAAAAGGATTTCAAATTTCTATAAAGTTTGGACATTGAGAATCTCCCTGTCTCTGCCATTCTTCCCCTTGCAGCCCAACAATAAATGTTCTTTAGCCTTTCTATCCATTCTATAGCTGTCTCTTCAGGACTCTGCCTCCTGCAGCCTTTTATATTTCTATTTCCACTATGATATCAGAGCACATCTATAGAGAAATATACTGGAATTAATATGGATTGGGTGGCATATGGGTGCAAAGCACCACAGGCATCTTCACATGAAGGCACTGTGAATTTGCACCAATTCAAAACATCATCAGAGGGGTTGGAACATATCCTGATCAGTATTACTAATCAACAAAGTTGTGTGGTTGTTTAAATGGAATAGATCCCTTTCTTATACAGCGTAGGTGATAAACATTAACACAATCTCCATGTAAATCAGGGGTCAGCAAAATAAAGTGTGTAAATACATGTGACCTTATGTGCTGTTTTTGTGGGCCTCCAGGGCACCAGGAGTCCAGAACATTTTATATGACTACTAAAAAAAAAGCGCTCCATGCAGTCATGCCGGCCACATGATCTTGGAGGTGTCTATGGACAACGCCGGCTCTTCGGCTTAGAAATGGAGACGTGAACCACTCCCCAGAGTTGGACACGACTAGACTTAATGTCAGGGGAAACCTTTACCCTTAAAAAAAACCAGTGAGGTATATACAACAGTCAGCCGATGTAAACACCAGCAATTAATACTGTACGCATTATTCGGCCACACTTGGAGACAATGTAGATTGACAGGGAAACATAGAACAGGCTGTGTTTCCTATACCTTGTGGGTGCATTCTCTGTAACAACCTATGGACCTTGCCTCAGTTTACTTTGAATTCACATTCTTGTATTTAGTTCAGATCTGGATTCACAGTAGACAAAGAAGATAAACAAGTATCATGAGAAGATGATAATGGTGGTGATGTGAACAATTAATAGTCAGCATTAGAAAAAGACACCTCTCAAATGCTATCCAAAATAAAGCACTAAAATGAGGATGCTGAAAATAGGTCATTTCAACCCAAAATTCAAGTAATTTTAATATGAAATGCAAGCAAGAACAATATATAATAAATAACTTGTCATCTGATATATGTTTATGATACAGATATGTAACTGGACATATCCAAGAGAAAATTATATCATTTATTTACACATATCTAAACTAAGTACTAAAATGCGCTTTTTATATACTGAACTATTGAATAAGCATAATTTACATACTCAGCATCAAAATCTTTTACATTTTTTCAGTGACTAATCTTGGAGAGGAGTTATTATTTTGGAAATATTTATTTAATTATTTACTGTATTTCTATACTGCCATTCTCAGCCCGAGGGCAACTCATGGCGGTTTACAACACGGCCATTCCCTTTTTGGACTACAGTTACCAGAAGCCCTAGCCATACAAGCATAGACCAAGGCTCTGTAGCAGATAACAAAAAAAAATGAGAAAATGCCATACCTGGTTGAAAAAGGTGTATTTTGTAAATACTTGTGAGAAAAAAAAAACATTTGCAAAGCTTAAAGGAAGTATTTGCTCATACCATATCAAACTTATTTCACTAGATTTAAGTCAGGGGTCCCCAAACTAAGGTCCACGGGCTGGATGCGGCCCTCCAAGGTCAATTACCTGGCCTTCGCCCCAAACTTTAGACTTAAGGTCACCCTAAGTCTGAAATGACTTGAAGGCACATAACAACAATCCTAATTAACTTGACTATCTCATCAGCCTAAAGCATGCCCATACTTCCCATTGAAATACTGGCAAGTTTATGTTGGCTAAAATGATTATTTTAAATACTGTATTGTTTTTTGGGGGGAGGGGGCACTACAAATAAGGTATGTGCAGTGTGTGCATAGGAATTCACTGCAAACTATAGTCTGAGGGGCTATGAACCGGCCCTCTGTTTAAAAAGTTTGAGGACTCCTAGTTTAAGGGAAGTACGGTAAGTTTAATTAAACCTGGCTAGGTAAATACTTCTTCTGAGCCTTCCAAGCCTTTTCTCACAAGACACCGAGCCCTTTAAACCCAAGCAGGCCATGAAAAAGATTCGGAGGGCTGGATATGGTGGCTGCCTTCCATGTATGGAAAAGGATTATAAAAAAGGAACCTCTTTTCCAAACAACAGTGGAATATGTCAACTTTCTTAGGGAGGAGATGGCATGAGTCCACATCCACCAACGCAGCTGACTTATTCTGCCTCCAACCCAGATAAAATGGGGGTGGGGAGATGAAAAATATTAAGACTGATTCAAAATGCTAAAGAATCAGGAGAGTGTCCTGGGAACACATTCCTAATAATGTAAAACAAACTGCAACATTACATTCAGATTCTGTAGGGTCATTGTGTACTTTTTCAATCCAGGCAAAATTGGTACAAAGACTGAAACAGTGTTATCATTTTAAAACAGTGCAGCATTTGGATCACATTCTGTTTCAAGACAGTTCATGAACACACTCCATCTTCCTGATGCTACTCGTTTACTGTTAATTTTCCAGTAGCACCAGAACTGCAGTACATACTGTACATATAATATGATATATATGTGTGTGCTATTTTGGAAATAGTGAACATATCTCACATAACAAGAATTAATATATTACTACTATCCCATCTAAAGGCTTTGAACTGTTGTCAGAGTAGTAATTAAAGAAGAGAGGAGCAAAAGGCAGGTTATACTCTCTAGACACCCAGTACTCCTCAAATTTCACCCTCTAAAATGGCAATTTACATCTGAAACATAATTCTCCCCCTGTCCAAGATTGTTTTAGGTCATATTTGAAATTAAAAATGACCAAAATACAGACATATTTCAGTTAACAAAGCCTCTGACAAAGAAGTTCCTATCCACAAAGTCTTTTTTTACAATTCCCAGCATCTTTTCCTCCTTGTCCTTTATCTTGCTGGAAGGTTTGAGGACTGGGAGGATGGTGAAGGACAGCTAAAGAAACACAATAGTTGGTATTGGGTTCCGGTAGCATGTCTGCATCAGACAGCGAAATAAAGCTTGAGTTGGAAAGGTTCCTGCTGTAGCAATGTTTTCCTGCCTACAATAGGCAAGGCAAACAGCAGCTGCCTCCAGAATCCCTTACTGGGCATGTGCAAAAAGCAAAACCGGGGGGGGGGGGGGGGATAGAAAACAGAAAAGCTTGCCTTACCAGTGACATCCAGCATATTTAAAAAGCTTAGTTCTATATGTTTGGTCACCATAATGAAAACTATATAAAAAAGCAGAGGCTGGGGGGGGGGGGACCATCCCAAGATGTCCTTTGGAAGAAGCTTTCAAGGGGTATCTAGAAGGCTCAAAATGTTTTACTTATAGAAGGCTTGTTTGACCAAGGTGTTTCATTTTATTGTCAGCTTAGGATAAAACGTTTGTTGAAACATGTCAAACTAGTCTTCTGTTCTGTGCTGGAACCTAACCCTATTCTTTCAATGTTATTCCTGCATTTGTTAACAAATTGGAACACAACTATTTTGCTAACTGAGGTATACTTGTAAACAGCAACCTCATTGTAAACAGAGACAAGAATCCATACAATCTTTGCTGGCTGGGAGCTGAAATTCATAGATTCCCTAAAACAAAATATTTTTCCCTTTCTTCTTTTTGTCTCTTTTTTGTTGGCAAATATATCTATATTCTAAAAGACAACTATTACAGTCAGCCCTCCACAGGACTCCTGAGAAAGTAAAAACTGCAAATAAACAATTTGCTGTTTTATTTTAGATTTATTTTATTTTTTTGGAAACTCTAACACAGCTCAATGGTTGACTAATGCTGGAAGCTGATAGGATTGCACTGGAGGACCTAGAAATTCCTAGAGATCTGTGAATAACCAAATGCACAAAAGTCAAAACTGCAAATGTAGAGAGACAACTCTATTCTCATGTGACAGTGTTACCAAATCAACATGTCATTCAGCATTGCACATAACACTCAAGGAGTCAAGTGGCATGTCGTAAATCCACATTCTTCTGATTAGAGACTGGGAGGAACATAGTTGTCTGCCATAACGTCTTCATGGAGTCTTCTTCATCCTTGATGACACAAGTCTCTTACCTCGTTCTGATACAAAAAGGAAATTGCCATTTATTTATTGGAATGCTGGGTGCGGGGGATTACTTTAGAGCTGCACCTGAAATTAAAAAGCAAACATTGTGTCCTTATTATACAGTGATTATACATGTCTAGAATATATTTGAAACTTTCCCGTATTTTTCAAAGTCTATTAGATTTTTACATATTCTTTTTTGATAACCCAGTCCCAAAAGTACAGAGGTAGATACTTTATTGCAGAGATTTCTAGGCCCATGGCCAGAGCCAGAACTACAGCTGCATTGATAGATATTCCGGCAAAATGTATGTTCTTAATCAAAATATGCAAAGCATGCTGCAATGCGTATGTCCTTTAGCCCAATTTGTATGCGTGCCTGACAAAACGCTGGCAACAGAAAAAGTTGTACGTATATATGAATTGGCCCCCATTGGTTATGAAATTCCTTGCTCTTCATAAATCATATAGTTTCTTACTTATTTTGCAGTGATTGCTGCCTTTTCTTTGGATTAGCCTAGTATTTCCATATGTGTTAGATTATAACATCCCTAAGCAAAAGCTGCTGGCTGGGGGATTGTAGGACTTGCAGTCCATTGCCAGAGGAGCACTATGTTTGGAAAGATTGTCTCAGACTATGTCCTTACAACTTTAACGATGCAAAATTGCCTTTTTGAAAACTGCATAAACAAGAAAGTGAGAAATTAATGTATTTAACTGCTACTTGTTCTACCTAGACTAAGGCCCCTTCCACACAGCTGTATAAAATCCCCATTGAACTGTAATCTATTTATTTATTAATTTATTTATTTATTTTGTTTACTGCATTTTTACCCCGCTCCATCTCCACCCCAAAAGGGACTCAGAGCAGCTTCCAGTTTGGCAATAATTCAATGCCACATTGCCACATAGAAGCATATAAAATACACAACACATAAAACATTAAAATCATAAAAGAAACCATATAAATAAACTGTTAAAAGCATTGCACCTAATCCCACAATTGCAGTCCAAAGCGATTGGTTTATATCAACTCCGCGGTTGCATATTGCACTGTGATTCTGCTACTCCCCAAACACTTGTTTCCAGAGCCAAGTTTTAACTTTCATTCTGAAAGCCAGGAGGGAGGAAGCTGATCTAATGTTGCTGGGGATGGAGTTCCACTGATAAGGCCCTGTCTCTCATCCCCACCAATTGCGCTTGTGAAGAGGGTGGGACCGAGAGCAGAGCTTCCCCAGATAATGTTAAAGTTTAAGTAGGTTCATATGATCTAATGTTGCTGGGGAGGGAGTTTCATAGCTGAGGGTCCACCACTGAGAAGGCCCTGTTCCTTGTCCCCACCAATCACACTTGGGAAGAGGGTGGGATTGAAAGCTGAGCCTCCCCAGATGATCTTAAAGTTCTAGTAGGATCAGATGGCCTAATGTTGCTGGAGAGAGAGTTCCGTAGCCAAGGCCCTGTCCTTTGTCCCCACCAGCCGCACCTGAAAAGGGAGTAGGGTCGAGAGCAGGGCCTCCCCAGAGAGTGAACTCAGATAATCCAATTCAAAGCTTTGATATTCTGGGTTATATGACTATGTGGAAGGGCCTTTATTTCCACTTGATTCATCTATTCTACAGATGAATCATCTATTCTACAGGATCCTTTAAAATACTATTATATGCCATTTTAATAATATGAAACAATATTATTTTAAATATTTTAAAAACATCCATTGTAAAAGAATTTTAAATCAATTTTAAAAATAAACAGAGTAAATTGATAAACAGAATATTTTGTCAGCAGTATTACATTCATGTTTAATATTCTCTTACTAGAATAATCTGAAAATATGTGTCTAGTCATAAATAAAATATGACTGTTTTTCCTAGTAAACTGGATACTCCTCTTTCTCCTCATGAATAAATCTTGGAAAAATAGCCATTAATCTTACTTAGGCTTGCAACTTGCAGGTGCCTTAATCTCTAATCACCCTTAGTCAGCACATAGCCAGTGGCCATTATTTCACTGGTTTCTCTGTTGGAAATTACAACCTTCTCCAAGCATCCTCTAGTAATTTGTTTATAATCCTGTTGCTTACTTATTGCATGTATGTTCTGATATGCAGCTTTCTTTCTTTGCTCTATGTTTTTTCCTGAGAAGTTGTGGGAGGGGCTGCAGACCGCATGATCCGCTCTGAGATGAACACAGAGCACAGACTTCTTTAGACTTTGAGACTACTCATATTGCAGACTTGCAAACACTTGCCTGCTGTTTACTATGAGAGAGATGTTCTGACTGGATGGCACAGAAACCATCTCAAACACATCTGTAACTGACTGATAAGTTGTGTACCTGTGTATGTTGAACGCATGAAGGTCATGAGTAAACCAAATCTCTTATTTTTACCAAAGTCTATTTTATTTTGTCTCATGAGTGCATAATATAAAACAATTTGTTTTATGGGAGAGTGGATATATTTTTGGACACTGAAAAACATGTCTGAATAACTGTCATTTTTATGCACTGGCATATTCTTTGTTCCTAACAGACCAGAGACAACAAGTTATTCAGTCTAACAACTGAAGCCAATTGCCTTGCATAGTTACATTTGGTTTACATTTGGTATACTACTTGAGAAGATTCTACTCAAACAGGTTTTTGGCTCTTCTCTAAAAGGTTATAAATACCATTTACTATGATCTCTAAAAGGTCATGCTTTTCTAAAATTCTCCTAACTGCACATCAGTTGTGAAGAGGTCAGATGGCACCAGGCCCAATACAGAACATTGAGATACCCCATTTTTTAATTAATTCCATCCCTAGCAAGGACATCCTTCCATTCCCATTCTCATATACCATTTTGCATATTGATAGATGTATATCAAAATATCCCTTTTTTCTGGTGTGACCTTCTGCCTTGTGACTTGTACATCAAGCAACTGATGAATCAGAGCAATGAGGGATGTTGCACTTTGGCCCACACATCTGGGTCATCTTTGTTTTTTTAGGAGAGCTTATCTTATCTGCCTCCTGGCTTGATCATGGAAGGCCAAGTCAAGAATTATATGAGTGGGATTTCCCCTCACATGGTCTAGCCTCTGCAACACTTTTCTAGAAATGCTAGATTCCTTACTACACTCTCACTGTGCTCCTTTTTTGTTGCTCCCCTGCATTCTTGTTTGCAGCATTGGAGGCATACAATCAAAGCTCAAAAAGGGGTGGTGACATTCCGCCCTCTGCTGGTTGAGATCAAGCTTCTACTTCTCTTGCTTTGGTTCATAATCCTCTTTCATTGTCTAAGCACAATATCTGGCAGTCCATGTTTAAAGAAATAGGCAACACCTAAATAGGGCGAATTAATTTTAAAAGATGTAATTTTTCATATTTCTCCCCATAAGCAAGACGCTACAGCTCATTTGCTTTTCCTTGATTCTGATTCCAAGATACTTTACTGCTGAAAATTACAAGCTTGCCTTTATCTTCAGAATAAATACCCTTTTCTCCTGTAGAGTTGTTTAACATTCCTAACATGCGTCTCCTCCCAAAAATAGTACATCTATGGTGAATGACTAATCTGACATATTGGCTTCCTACCTATCATGGAAGTGTCTTAACAATGTGCTAGCATCATAATGAGTCATTCAGTTACACATAGACACACAAGTGCCTCATCCAGGCTGTCAGGGTACTTCCTCCACACTTGTAACTTGGATGTAATAGCCGGCATATTTGATCAGTTTGGAGACATGCTTCTGGCATGTAGCAGTGAAGCCCCATCTACACTGCCATATAATCAAGTTTCTGAATCTGATTGTCTGCTTTGAACTGGATTATACAGTAGTGTAGACTCATATAATCCAGTTCAAAGCAGATAATCTGGATCAAGAACTGGGTTATACTGCAGGGTAGATCCAGCCTGACACTGTAGATATTTATTCTCATGCTAACTCCTTCATAAAAACAAAAACAAAATATTGAAGTGTTGCCACCATCCCAAGATGGTCAGTTCATCTTGGGATGGTGATCAACAGAGATGCATCCAGATATTTTTCTGTAGCTGTGTTACAAGAGTAATCTCTGGGACAGATTGCATCCGTATGTCTTTTCTGGTTGCAATAAAATAGATAGATGTGTCTCCACTTTCCAATCATGGAAATAGCTACATACTTAAAAGATGGGTTTGTACAGAAAATAGTGTGAGAAGTAAATTAGATTTGAAACAATTTTTTCAATTTATTTCGTTATTGTTTCGTTATTATTTTGAATTATTTCGTAATTATTTCGTAATTTTTTCGCATGTCTGGTGCAAGTTTTATAGTTGTTGTTTGTTTTATCACACCAACAGTCAACAACAGAGGGAGAGGGAAGCTTCAGAAGTTCCCCCTGTCCCATTTGGAGGTTTTTTTTTTTGCATATTGCGCGCCATTAACAAATCGATTCGAAATTAACGAAATTTCGTAAATAACGAAATTTTGAAATCTCAAAATTTCGGAAGTATTTAGAATTTGGAAACACTAGCGCCCCCTGGAAACGAATCGAGTTTAGAAACAAATTTTTCCATGGTTACCCAGCCCTACACTGTATCATGCTCTACATGGGGCTACCTCTGAAGAATGTTCGGAAACTTCAGCTGGTCCAAAGAGCTGCCCCTGTTGCAGCAGTTCCACCGGCTTCCAGTTTGTTTTGGAGAACAATTCAAAGTGCTGGTTATGACCTTTAAAGCTCTAGACAGCTCAGGTCCAGGCTATTTGGCTGACCACATCCCTGAGATCTACGATCTTCAGGAAAGGCTGAACTTGGTTCACCTCTATCTCAAGCTCAGTTGGTGGAAATGAGAGAGGGGCCTTCTCAGTGGCTGCCGTTCAACTCTGGAATTCCCTGCTCAGGGAAACCAGAATGGCCCCCTCCCTGCTGTTCTTCTGAAGGCAGGCTAAAGCATTTTTATTCAGGCAGACTTTTAAAGAAGAAGGTTTGTAAGATCAAGGCAGGGGCTGCTGTGGTTTTTTGTTTTGAATATATTTTCATGAATATAACTGAATTGTTTAATACCAATGATATTTAATTCTGTTTTAATGTTTGTATATTTGTAGATTTTAAACTGT